GTTGTTTTACATTCAAAACTAGCTTTGGCTTGGAATTAGTTATATTATAATTTTGGTTTTGTGCTTGTTTGATACATTGCTGAGGTAAATGCGTGTGTTTTAATATGCAAAATATATATCTAAAAACAATGTTGATTTTATTCGAAATAAACGAACAAAAATGGAAATAATTAATAACAAAAATAGATCTACTGTCGTTGAATATATCAAAACTATCGAATAAAGATTTAAAATCACATAAATGTACTTTGTTCATGTCAGTAAAACGATTTTACGAGTAAAACTACATAGGTACTATTAAAATACCTTTTTAGAAATCTGTTTATATTTTAGAAGTCATTAATTACATAATACTTAAACGTTTTAAAACTAGGCTATGTAGCGAAATATATTTGACAAGCAAATTTACTAATTTAAGTTAAAATCAATACTAATTTATATATGCTTGTATGGTAAATTGTAAAGATAAAGAAACTAAGCACGATAAAATAAGTAACATTGTCTGTTTATAAGTCGTAAGTCATTTATTTAAACAGATTTACTTAAGTTACATGCATTGGTTAAGCTACAAGTTACAAGCTATTTACATAGAGCTTATATCAAGTCTTAAGGTTTCTGGTTCGATCCTTAATAAAGCTACATGAAAAAGGGTTTACATTAGGTAGTAACAAGATCGACCCCGTAAAAAACCTAACTAACTGCAATACCATACACTCGCAAAATAAAGTAAAACAAAATAAACCATCAATATATTTGATCACATCATAGGCAGAATCTAAAACTATCCAATAACTGACGAATGAGTAATAAAGATGTAAAATATAAACAGAATTATATTGAATCTCTCTCCTAATTTAATCATTGAAGGCTGCAGCGGTATATTGATATAATGTCTCTTGCTCGGGCGATGCACCTTCAAAACAAGTCCTTGACTCAGAGTGCAACAGTCGAATGTAATATAATGGATTTCACCTTCAGGTCTAACGTAATACTTGTCTGAGATGCTCTGCCAATAGGACACCGACTTGCCGACGTCATTCATTGCTGTTTTAAAATCATAGAGTTATAGGCTACACAAACGAATTTATGTTATAAATAAATAATTGACCCATTTTGCTATAGAAGTCATTACTATTTGACGAAATAAAACTTTTTTTAAATGCCTACAGTTGCAGTTATTATATTCTGGAATGTTGCACTATTTTTTTAATGGTTCACATTTAAAAAACATTGCTACAGTTCGTGTATTTTATAATACACCCCATTAAGCAATGTGATGAAATAGTTTATTATAGTCTAACGCACCTATAGCTAAATATACTATAGGCTGATACAGTGTTACAATTTTAGCTTTATCTTTGCGATTCCTGTATGGAAATGTCTCTTCTAACGTGCATGATTTAAGGTTATTGTGATTTAAAGATTAATTAAAACTTTGTTAAGGATCAAATGCAAATTGGTATGTGTTAAATTGTGATATTTATTAGAATCTCATGATCATAGCATACTTATTGATTAGTTATCACCCTAAACATATTAGAAAATGTTTCTTACTTTTTCAATAGATTAGTTTAGACCTATTTTTACCTAAAAATTACCACGACAAATTGTTTAGCGTATTTAAAGTGAGAACAAGGAAAAAATACAAGCTGTAAACTAGCAAGCTTTTGACCTATATCCGATATTTTTATAAAGTGCTAAATTTACCATTCAATTTGTCATTTAATTTTACAGTATATGTGTTAGGACTTGAATTGAAAGTGTTTGGACACTAAAGTCATTTGCTAATACGCCACCATTCAATCTCACTTAAATATTGTTGATGACAAAATCGATTTCAACCGTCTTCCAATTGGACTGAGCAGACTACAATATGAATCATGTTTTCGGGATTAAGACACAGGAAAACCTTAGTCGGTTTTGCCAGTTTGTTCCTGGTTATTTCTGTTACTTGCCAGAGGAAGACAAAAGCTTTGAGTAGTCTGAAAATCTCAAAAAAGTACTGTTAAGAATATAGATTGTAAACAAATTGATACCAAATGGTATTGTTGTAGTTTTAAGTATGAATTTTGCAGAGCAAGCTGATCAAGTGTAGAGTGTGGGGCTTTGGCCCCCAGGTCTCGGGTACAGAAACAGCAAATAAAAAATGTTTATTTGTAATATACCAAAACCCGCAAGACTGCCTGAACTAACGTGTAAAACGGTTCAAACCTAGAGCCCAGCGCCCTGTAATGTGAGTGCAGAGTGTACAAGTTATGTGATTTTATCTTCTGTTCTCTAGGTTGTTGTGATTGCTGCCCTCGCTGCCGCTCAGGCCGCCCCCACCTCACTGCTATACCCCGTGGTGCCCGCCGCCCCTCACGCCTATCTGGTCAAGAGCTACGCCGCCGCCGCCCCCGTGGTCCACTACCCTACCTCGTACTCCCACGTGTCACACACCCAGTTCACCAGCCACCCTGTCCCAGCTGTAGTGCCAGCTGCCACCGTGTACCATGCTCCGGCCCCTCTGTTGTACCACGCGCCCGCCGTCGTCGTCTAGGAACCAACTCTACCCTCGTATTGGATGTGCTCAATAAATAAGTTATTTGTCATGTTCGGTGTTTTGATTTTTAACCTTGAATGCTAAACTTCAACCTACTGGATTGGATGGTGTCTGAAGACATTTACTTCATTATAAGGATATGAGTGGCACGGACAAGCCACTCCTGATTGTAGAAAGAATGTAGTATAGAAACTACTTGACATAAAGAACCAATGCAGATAAATAGTTATGTGATCCTTATTTAATGCTTAAGAAGTTGTTCTGTCGCTGTACTTAATAAATTATGGATTTTATATTTTTTTGTGGGTGGTCCTGGTTTTGATAATTCAAAACAAGCTCAATGAAACCTTAAAGGACATAATCTGTTTATAAGGCCCCTGGTATCTAAATGGATTTAGTTCTTGAATTAATTTAACGTTTGTTCACACTGAATGTGATATACATGATAGGTCCGTCACTGGAACCCCACTCAAATTTTATAACAGGTTTTTGTGAGATTGATTTGACAAAATCTTCAACATACTTGCTTTAGAGAAGGATACAACCATTTTTTATGTATGTCTAAAAAAATAAGCAACAAAACGCAATTTTAAGGTAATTACAGTGAATTCAATGTTCTGAATGTTCTTTATAAATAATTATAATTTCACAAGGTTACGTCTTGGTTTTCACACATGATGGTTACATACATCGTCAAGGCTTTTATCTCATCCTGAAAATTTGTATTCGTATTTCAAATGTGCGTGTCATTGGTAAGTTGGACCTTTCAATAGTATTTCAATTTGTCCAGCCTTAAACAAAAAAACACATTCCTTCTGAAATTTAAATACTACAAAAGAAAACCCACACGAATCCCACCATATATTTTTTCTAATGATAAACGAATAAGAACTGAATCAAAAGAAAATTATGGTAAACCCCATGTCCATACATAAAAAAATAAAAGCCAGTAATCCAGTACTGTTTACTCAAATTAAGTACTTACTCAAAACAAAAGATATTTAGAACATTTCAATTTTAATAGACAATTAAAAAAAAAATCCCTCCACAGAGGTTATATAGCATTTAATAAGTTTTCAAAGCACACAATTCCGGATTCCTCTGTGTGACCACAAACAGAAGTAATTCTGTCAGACGGCGGCACTGCTCTGCCTAGTTAGTCTGTTTCACACAGTCAGCGGGGTGCATGGGTTTCCCAGGTTGTAAATTGCATCTTCATTTTCATTTTTAGAACTTTGCGAATCCTTGAAAGCCTAGTTTACTTAACTGCATTAGCCGAAATGTTATAGCTTGTCAAATGTAATTGTTATAACGTAAAGGTTTTGTAATATCTCTAGCTATATTTTGGGCTTGAATACATTAAATAGTTTAATTGTGAGTTGATGGCTCGTCGACTGCGGTACCAACTTTGAAATCAAAGCAATGCTGCTGTGAATAGTGAGTGGGAATGCTTCTATTCACTTTTACGAGACAGCCGCAATCATTAATTACGGTCATCGCAACTGTAACGTTTTTACTGCACCGGTTTTATGATCTGGTTGTACCGGCTTGGCTTGATATGTTGCTGATACAAACTGCAAATCCAGGTAGGTGGACTGAGGCTAAAAATACCTTAAAAATACCGGTAAAGCTAACATATATGAAAAATACCCCCGCTGCAGCAAGCCTGTAGACTAAGCGAATTTCCATTCACTAAAAGATTTCCTAATGTTTTTAAATGGGGAATAGATCTGACTTAGATTTATTGCCTTTTTAAAAACATTCAGTTAAATGATAACTAAAGTTTGCTGCTACAGGAAAGGTACTATTAGCTTAATATGAAAAATAAATTTGCCTAATTTGATATAAATAGGCTATATACATAACCAATAACCATGCAAAGTATAAACATTTACTTATTCTCCATAATAATAACCTGGACATTTTTAATGCGATATTTTTAAATTTTGTTCCTTAACCACCGAGCTTACAGCAACATTTTCATTCAATAAATTATTTGTTCTTTAAGCTCCATTAAATTTTATGTTTAAAAAAATGGGTAGCCCATTTTTAACCTTACTTGATAAATATTAATAAATTTTGATAAATTTTGATTCGAGTTATCGTCCACTATTTTTATATAATAAAACCATATTTGGCACCTTATTGTGTTTTCTTATGTACTACCTTAACTGGGATAAACTTAAAAAAATCAACAGAGTAGCTGTTCTTAGAGTTATTGGAAAGATGTTATAGGTATTTTAAAGAACATATAACGAGACAAAATTGATTTATCATGTAAGGTGAACAGATAATAATATACGTGGATATAGTGGAACATTCTATGTAAACCTGGCTCAGTGTAAGGAAAATATAATCTGTAGCTATTTGAAATGCTTGTTTAGTAGAGACAATGCCACAACGGTGCTGTAACATGGAAATGGTTAAGAATAAAATAAAATTCGGGAAAGTAAAGTTGAAGAATTTATTAAATATTTACAATTTTCTAAAAATCACTAATGGGTTCAAACATTTGCCATTCACCAGACGTAGGGTGCTGCGTAAGGGGCCAAAGGAGCAGCATAGGGGGCTGCTACGTAGGGGGCAGCATAGGGCGAAGCATAGGGTGCAGCGTAGGGTGCAGCGTAAGGTGCAGCGTAGGGGGCTGCATATGGAGAAACGTAGGGGGCCGCAGGGACAACGGGTGCCAAACCATTGTAGTTCCTAGCTACTACTTGATGACTGGAGGCGGTGACTACGCTGGGGGCGGCGTAGGCTACGGGGGCGGCGATTACGGCACTGGGGGCAGCACTAGCTCCCGCCACAGTCAGAGCGAAGACGATGAACTGAAACATAACAGGGTCATATATTAGAATCGTCATTGTAATCATATACTCGTAGTGTTTGCGTTTCTAAAGAGTCCTTTTTTAAGAAATAATGTTAGTGTAGTTTACTCTCGAAAATCCGACACTTTTAAGACCGGTAGTGTCAGATACCGAACACAACTGATTACTGAAAATAATTAGCTTAAAATACATGCTAAAAAGTCTACTTATGAAGCCTTATCCTATACTCTAATACGAGCAATGTTTGCTTGTATGTATGCTTGCTTGCTTGCTTGCTTGCATGCTTGCTTGCTTGCAGAAAGATCTCGAAAACGGCTCCGACGATTTTCTTCAAATCTTGTAAATAGTTTATTTTTGGCCTAAAAACGAGCTTAATGCAGTTAGAACTCCCAACAAAAATCTAATTACGTTGAAAAACGAAACTAAAAGTCGCATTTTTTTAACATTAGTCTTATGGGTTGCTAAGTAACCATGTTGGTTGAATTAAATAACAAGGAAAAAGTAAACAAAAGACTTGAAGTTGTAGCACGTGTTCATAATAAGCCAAATACCCACAGTATACTAGCAAATTACAAATACAGTACAAAAGGGAAAGCATCACTTGCTAGCTACTATTGAGCAAAGATTATACTGTAAAATGCTCGATACATTGTAGGCATTGTAAGCAGTACGAAGTGTGGGGTCTGTTTATGACGATTAGATTAAGGTCATCTGAATATCCTAAAATGCTATAGGAAGGGAAGGTTTGGAAACAGGTCTGTGACGTAGGAAGTGGTGAAGGAAGTAGTAAAGGAAAGTTGTCCGGAGTGTTGAATCTGTTTATGACAATTAGCTTATGGTATTTGCGATCAAAAAATGCTATGGGAAGGGAGGGAAACAGGTCCGTGACGTAGGAAGTGATAAGGGAAGTAGTAAAGGCAAGCAGTCCGGAGTGTGGGAACTGTTTATGACGATTAGATTAAGGTATATACAATCCTAAAATGCTATGGGAAGGGAGGGAAACAGAGCTCCGCGACGTAGGAAGTGGTGAAGGAAGTAGTCAAAGCGAGCTGTCTGGAGTGTGGGAACTGTTAATGACGATTAGATTATGATATTTGCAATCCTAAAATGCTATGGGAAGGGAGGAAAACAGGTCCGCGACGTAAGAAGGGGTGAAGGAACTAGTCAAGGCGAGTAGTCCGGAGTTTGGGAACTGTTTATGACGATTAGATAAGGATATTAGCAATACTAAAATGTTATGGGAAGGGAGGGAAACAGGTCCGCGACGTAGAAAGTGGTGAAGGATGTAGTCAAGACGAGTCGTCCGGAGTGTGGGAACTGCTTTTGACGATTAGATTAAGGTATCTGGAATCTTAAATGCCGTGGGAAGGGAGAGAAACAGGTTCGTGACGTAGGAAGTGATGAAGGAAGTAGTAAAGGCAAGCTTTCCGGAGTGTGGGAACGGTTTATGACGATAAGATTAGGGTATCTGGAATCCTAAAATGCTATGGGAAGGGAGGGAAACAGGTCCGCGACGTAGAAAGTGGTGAAGGAAGTAGTCAAGCCGAGTAGTCCGGAGTGTGGGAACGGTTTGTGACGATTAGATAAGGGTATTGGCAATCCTAAAATGCTATGGGAAGGGAGGAAAACAGGTCCGCGAAGTAGGAAGTGGTGAAGGAAGTAGTCAAAGCGAGCTGTCTGGAGTGTGGGAACTGTTTATGACGATTAGATTAAGGTATCTGCAATCCTAAAATGCTATGGGGAGGGAAGAAAACAGGTCCGCGACGTAGGAAGTGGTGAAGGAAGTAGTCAAGGCGATCTGGCCGGAGTGTGGTAACTGTTTATGACGATTAGATTAAGATATTTTCAATCCTAAAATGCTATGGGAAGGGAGAAAAACAAGCTCGCGACGTAGGAAGTGGTGAAGGAAGTAGTCAAGCTGAGCTGTCTGGAGTGTGGGAACTGTTTATGATGATTAGATTAAGGTATCTGCAATTTTTAAATGCAATGGGAAGGGAGGGAAACAGGTCCACAACGTAGGGAGCGCTGAAGGAAGTAGTAAAGGCGAGCAGTGTAGAGTTTGGGAATGGATTTATGTGTCTGCAATACTAAGACTGCTATCAGAACAAACTAATGATTTTCCCGAGCAATGTTCGGTCCCCAGGTACTTAGCCTTATACCCTCTATACTTTTGAGCGTTAAAATCAATCATTTGGGGCATTGTCTTACAATAACGCTACAGAAAAAAACCTTGATTTGGCTTCAAGCAGGAAATTACATTCTACAATGCAATGGCGTCCAGAGTCTTTTTATCACACTAATAATTTAAATCATACTTTTTCAATGGATGATTAATTTAACTGGTTTAAGCAATTTATCGGAATTCACTTAAACTATCACGGACTCTAAATGAAAACACACATACTATATTGTCAAACAAGATAAAACATGTACACAAAGATAGTAACAGGGGATCGGTTTTGATTGGCTACCTAAATAAATTCCACATCCAGTAGTCAAGTAATTAAATGTTTCTTTCCTGAAATTAAAAAAAATATACAATAGTATTATATTGCGTAGTATCCCAGTGTGCTTTGCCATCATAGAATGGAGAAGAATAGATTTACTGGAATACTTATATTCACATGTTTTGTTACATATTTTTACACTTTTCCTTATAAACGTTCAATCTTCTTATAAGTTAATATCCTTGTGTTCTTTCTCACAATTCTTTGCTGAAAAAAGATTTTCCTCAACTTTTCCTAGTGGTTGCTGCGTTCAAAGATCTTTCCGTGTTTTGGGTCTTCAATGTAAGAAGATAATTCTAAATACTATTAAAAAAAAATCCCTTCATATAAAATTTAAACAATAATTGGATTATGCATTTATTACTGGCTTTGAATTGGAGGGTTATTTCTTTGTTAACTCTTAGAATATCTTAGTGTTGGATATAAATTTACCCTTCCTAATTGTGAGAGTTAAATTTAAATTTATTTAAAACTGATAACAATCCACTGTAGCCCCAGGATGCCTTAGGACCTATATGAGAATATGGTGTGCATTACTTATAAAGATTGCCGAAACGTTGACTACAAACATGGGCAAGGAAGCAATTTTGTTTCAAATTTAATTAAACAGTAGAAACTATTTATGCATCGTCAAAAATATGAGTGACCTGCCAAATATCTGTTTTAAAACTAAAAACAAAGTGGTCCCTAACCTAGGTCCTAATAATGGTGACTGCGGTACTTACCAATGGGGTAATTCAGTAATAAAAAATTTTAAAATATGTTAAATTAACAAGTAATAAAAAGAATAAATATGAAATACAGTTTATCGAACTCTTTTGTTTTGATACGCAATAGACATTTTCTAAGATTGATAAATTCCTGAAATATGCTCCTTTATCGACGATAAATGCATCAGAATACTTATGTTGCTTGACTCATACAATATAATTACATATTTTAGAATATAAACGCATATTCCATAAAATTTAACTCAAGGGGATACTAGAAAACTTTGATACCAAAGCTAATAAAGCAGATCTTTACTTTAACCCCCTAGTAAAGCAAAGAAAAGTATTGTTTTCGTAAAAATTTCAAGTTTCAGTTTTTGCTGGAAATATCTCCTAAACCCAAAAAGTGGTTTTTGAAGTGGTGATTGTGGATGGGTTTGTGTGTGTGGATTTGTACAGTGCTTCAGCCTACACCTATGTCCAATTTTGACCAAATTTTTTATGTGTGTACCAATCCATAATATATAAGGTAAGGTTTTTTTCATTAGACTTTTTAGTTTTGATGGGGATTTCCCATAAAACCCAGTAAAACCAGATTTTCAGAAAAACTGCGTACATTTTTTTTGTAAAACTTCGTATGTTATGGACTTTTAAATTTTAAACAAAATAGCACAAACCCAAATGCTGTATAAATCACGTTTTCGAAGTTATTGCAGTTTTTGTTACTTTTACCCATAAAATATCATAGCTTTTACTCCCACCGCTTACCCATCATAATGGTTTTTGTCAATATAATACAGAAAGTAAATGCTACTTTGCTCATACTGTTCATTAAACCTTGGATTTGTAAATGTATAGCTGAATTTGATAATTAAAACAAAATACTTAAAACAGTTGTAAACCAACACCAAGTAGAGTTGACTTACCAGACTGGAGCTCATGGTGGTGTGTGATGACCAGCGACCGATGTCCAGTAGTCTTTATACAAGCAGGCTTCTTGAGCGTGCCAAGAATCACTGAGGCTTGCCAAACCACGGTTGCCTAACGATACGTTCAGGGTGTAGGGACGTCCTCGAGGGCATGGTAACCTGGAAAGTATGATCAGAGAGTATGAGGATCTATAGGGGGTGAACTTCGTATGGTTAATGAGCATTTGGTAAACTACAGGTTTAAATGAAGAGTAGGTGAGAGAAAATAGTGCATGTTAAACAGAGGAAACAGTTAACTAGAAGAAATGAAAAATGAACGTGGAAACCAGAGGATAAAGATGATATTCAAAGTTAGAGAGTGTGGTAAACTATGCAACCACAAAACATAAGAGAACTCTAAGTCTCACCACCGTACCACCGCTTACAGTTAGTTGTCTTTTATGAACATGCATCATAATCAAATGTTACTTTAGGTCACAAAGAGTATTCGAGACTGGGGTAGTATTATGGTAGTATAGAACCCGTATAAACTATATAGTATAATGCAATGAGGGTATGATATTATACAATTTGTGGGAATCAGAGGGTATGGTAAAATGAGGCCTGCTAGGAAAAAAAAAGTTAGCCTAGATCGTGGTTAGCGTCTCGGACTTCACTGCGGAAGTTATAGGGTAGTATTATGGTAGTATAGAACGCCTATAAACAGTTAACCTATAATTAACCTATATACAGTTAACCTATAATTAACCTATATACAGTTAACCTATAATTAACCTATACACAGTTAACCTATAATTAACCTATATACAGTTAACCTATAATTAACCTATATACAGTTAACCTATATAGTATAAACCTATTCGGGAATAGGTTCGATTCCCAGCTACCCACAACACGTATAGATTTGGACCGATCTACCCTCAAAGTGTTAATAATTGAGTACACCGTATATTGCCTCAACTGTAAAAGTTCCTCTAACGTCGGCATCAAGAAAATAAACGGTATCAGCATTCTGACATATACTTTCTCCCTTAAGTATGTCAAAAACCTTTATCATGTGAAAGAGGTGAGATTAAATATACGGAAATGGGATTTGTACAATTTTGTTCAGAATTTAAAGGACTATAACATACTAAATTTTTATCAAAATCGTTCGGGTCATTTTTGGGAAAATCTAATTTTCCGTTATTTTATGGGGTTTTATGGGAAAATAACACAATTTACAATCACTTTTGAACCGTAATTTTTACAGAAATGGGATTTGTAACATTTTGTTCAGAATGTAAAGGACTAGAACATACTAAACTTTTATCAAAAACGTTCGGGCCATTTTTGGGAAAATCCTTTTTTTCCGTTATTTTATGGGGTTTATGGGAAAATACCCATTAAAAATCCAAATTTCCAAAAAAGGAAAAAAACTATCAACATTTTAAGGACCATAACATACTATGTTAAATCAAAGCAGGACTTTTTTTCTAAAATCCTATTTTTTGTTATTTTATGGGATTTTATGGGGAAAATAACATAATTTACAATAACTTTTGAACCTTAATTTTTACAAAAATGGTATTTTTACCATTTTGTTCCAAATTTAAAGGGCTAAAACATACTAAATTTTTATCAAAATTGTTCGGGCAATATTTTGTGAAAAACCGTTTTTTCCGGTTTTTTATGATTTTTATGGAAAAATGCCCATAAAAAATCTTAAAAAAAGGAAAAAAAAACGCCTGGAGATACCATGGATTAGAACCTACATACCAAATTTCATCTAAATCGGACCACAGGTATGGTTCCTAGCTCTACACATCCAGACACACGCACACACATACACACACACATAAATCACTTCGAAAACAACTTTTTTGTGTCCAAATAAACTAAGATGGTTCTCAGAGGTAAATCGGTTGTAACAAAACAAAAAAATGTCATCAAATTATTAGGAGCCTCACGCGGCGTTCAAATGAAAGTGACACGAGACCACGCCGTCTGCCATCTGACGTAATAAGAAGCAATCTTGATTTAAAAATAAAAGTGTATTATTCCTCAATTTCGCAGAGACTTGCGTTTATTTTTATTCTTACATTGGCCATCGTCACGTTTTGATGTCTTAGGTTTTTATTTTTTGACATTCAACATATTAAATTGTCATATTTAGTGCGTTTAAAAAGTCTAACAAGTACGGTTTGTAATCGGGCCGGATAGGAATTTATGAACAGTCTATTTTGTCGGTTGTCATTACGCTTAAAACTAAAGCAGGAAACCCACGACACCTCCCAACTAGTCTCCGACACCTTCCGATGCCTTCCGCACTTTTTAAGGCAATAAACCTTTGATCCGACGGGCTCCGTCATACTTATTGTTGTATCTGGATAATTTGGTTAGCAGTATTAGTTTGCTTCTTAAAAACAGCAGAATGACCGACTAATCAACAGGTAGAAGAAATCAGAATTACTGTCTATTATTGATTGTCAACTTAATTAATTGGCCTATAAAATTTAAGTGGAAAGAGCTTCAGTGATGTATACGAAAATTGTTCATGGAAAAGCTGACCACAAGAGAAAAGCTTCAGAAAGTTATTTTGGTTCTTGAAACAAAAAAAGCTTGATATTATGCCTATGATAATTTTAAACTTGTTTACGTTTAAACCTCATCTAACTGCAGTCACAATTAATTATGTTCTGAAACTGTTAGAAACTGTTAACCCTGAAACTGAAACTGTTAATTATGTGCAACTGTTAGTTGCACGGGTCAAGCACAATGCGGGTGTGCGCGTGCGTACGTTTGCACGTAAGTCTGTCCGTGAGACGTTAGTTACACAATGTTTGATTGGACGTAATAGATTTCACCCACCAGCCCAGAACGGACAACGGCATAAGGACCTATTGTCCTTCACATTAGTGGCATTAGAATAGTTGACTTGATTTCTTTTTGTGTATAGGGCGTTATTAGGTTTACAGATTTAACAAGTAGGTATTAATATGTATTTCGCAAGTCCTAAAGCTCTTGGTTCGAATTTGATTGATTAAAAATTAAGTTTGGGGACAGTGGTAGAGTAATTATTAATATTCAATATTGATTGAGTTAATATTAACTCATGAAGACTAACGACTTTCATTTAATAATAACACAGCAAAGAGATTATTATTTTTATTTTAACTTGTAACCGATGCACTAGGCTATAGAAATAAATTTACCGCATTCTTAGGAGGAATGGTACACCATCGCCCAGTATGACTCCGTTACGCATAATATGAATTCAGGAGGAGGAAACTGACCGTGTTGCTGGTCTGGTCTATGTGGTGTGTCCAGCTGAACTTACCATCAAGAACAAAACCAAGCGGTTTTACAGGACCCTGAACATCTGGTTGATTTCTGGAAAGGCTGCAGATGATGTGCTGCGTTTTATCCTCGTTAAGTTGAAAATGGTTAGCCAGAAACCAAGCAGCTGTATCTTCGAGGCGCTGTCTGGAGACGTCCTGGTCAATGTTGGTATCATATGACAGGAGAGAAGTGTCATCCGCAAATATGAGGGTAGTTCCAAGGGGATCAAGATTATTGATCATGATGAGAAAAAGTGTAGGCCCAAGCACCGAAAGTAGTGGCGAACTACGGGTTTAACGCCACTTGGGGCACGTTTTCCCATAAGAAATAACATGGGATCATTTTTTGGCCACTAAAACCAAAAATCCTGATCTTTGCCTATACATCCCCTATACTACTGTACAACTCCATTAACATTACAAATCAACATATATTTTCAAATCATGTGAGATTTGCAGCAGAACTCAAGCGCACTCCCGGCCCATGCTTCTCATCTCCAGCGGTGTGTAGTAGTATAGTAGTGTAAAAACGCTATTCACTGGATCAGGAGCAGCAACCCCCAATTGTACCATAGCACCTCATCATGTGTACCGGTACACGATATTTTACTCACGATGTTTCACCTGTTTTGGATTGAATATATATTTTTGTGTGTAAAAACACTATTAACTGTATCAGGAGCAACACCGTGTATTTTTTTTAGTAGTATAGTTTGTCGCTGCCGTTTTTTGAGGTGCGGGGTTTTTGGGCTAACTCTCCGCCCATGCCTAATTGCTAGTACATCTACCATTCCCCTTTCTAGTTGTTCTATTGACTGATTTGATATATTGTTGTCTATATTTCTGTCTTATCTATATATATATTAGTTGTATGAGTTGTTTAATATTTTCATTTCTTTGTCTTTTGAGATATACCTCTTAAACTTGCTCTTGGGCCTATACAAGCCTATATAAATGTACAACTCCATATCTATATTGTATAATTTCAAATCCATCTCCAACACCCATTCACATGTATATTCTCAAAATCGAGCGAGGTTTGTACGCGAACACAGGCGCGCTCCCGACTCATGGCGTGCTCCCTTGGACATCCTTAGTGGAAATCCATGAATTCTGGCTACTTGGGAACCCAAGCCATTTGACAAATAATAAATCACCTTTTCTCCTAATAACCTTTTCTATCAAATACATGTCTTTATATTTGGTCTTTAACAATTCCTCTGTATAGAAGCCTCCCCTGATTATATTACCATTTTCATCTTTCAAGATATAAGTCACAGGCTTTGTATTCTTTACTTCTGCTATTGTAAATAGCTCCCCTGTCCAATTCGGAGTATAACCTTTACTAAAAACATGTTTATACTTGGAAATTCTCACACTATCACCTACCTTATATCTTGGCTTTTTAACTTGCACTACTTTAGAAGTCAACCTCTCATGCACATATTTACTATTCTTAATATTCACTTGGTTAGGCTTTATACCTATAGATCTATGCACCTTATTATTATATTTTCGAATTAACTTTGGAAGTAAATCCAACCATTTATAACTTCCCTGAGCACTAAATTCCCTATATAACCAATTCTTTAAAGTTCTCTGAAACCTCTCCACAATTGCAGCCTTAGTTGTAGAAAAAGTGTGATAGTGATTAATATTTAATTGTTTCATTAGTTTGCTAAAATATTGATTAA